AGCTTTCTTGCACTGGCGATTTGCCCCCAAATGCGAGGTCCGGTCAAAGTTTCATTCATGATCCCAAGGTTTATTATTTCTTCACTTTCTTTTTTCTTTTTAATCTTTTCTATAGTGAAGAATTTTCCACGATTTTTAGAGAAAAATGCAATCAATTTCTCCTTATTGTTGTTGGGAAATACATCGGAAACAGTAGGAAAATGGATAAATACGCAAATGAAGTAAGTCAAAAACGGTTGTGTTAAAGCTTAGCTATGGAATTTCATGTGTAATTTTCTAGGTAAATTTACAGGGATTAGAATGCAGTTATTCCTTTAATGTATAAGTAGTATGGGAATTTATAAATGATGATACAGGGAGACCTCAGACCTATAGCTGCAAAGTCGCATAAAATCCCTTTCGTTTTAACAAACATGTAAAGTTAATGGAGCAAGATACAACTATCTCTACATTAAAATGTAATTTTTCCTTTTTATCTTTTCTGTAACTGTTTTGAAAAGTATGTGGCTTTCTGGTTAATACATCAAGCTTTGTTAGTTAGTTTACATTATGTTTGAGGGGAATAAGGTCCTTGTTTATAGGTTGCAGGGGAAACAGAGACAAAGGGTCAAATTAAGCTGCGGTTCAAGACGGCAGCAGGAAAGGATGTAGTCTGTGTAAGGTCATTCCAGCTGACACAGAAGGGATCAAAGATGGAGTATAAAGCTATCGAGAGTGTGCTTCAAACCATAAACCCGCATAGTGGAGAGGTTGAAATTGCTTTAACTTTTAGAATGGTCTTGCTCTATCAAATAAACTTACCCTTGCTTCTTCCTTATTTGTGGATATAACCCAAGAACCTTTAAGATCTTAGATGGCTTCTTCAGCAACATAATTCACTTGTGATTTTTGTTTTGATTGCAAGTATGATTGTGATTCTTACCACCTGATTATGTTATTAATGTAATTTTCCCCTCATTTCCATGATATGATGATTATACAAGATCTCTAAGTGTTTCACAATACTTGTCTCTTCCATTTACCCTTTCTAGACAGCAATCCTCTAAGTGGATGGTTATCCTTGCAAATATGTTTTGCTTGTTCTCTTGTTTTAATCCTTTTTACAAGGGCAACCCACTTGGGCATTTCATGTCTGCTGCTGGTTGTGATAAATTTGCTTCATCCACTACTTTTAGATTCTTAAGTTTGTTTGTCTGTTTGTGTGGGGCAGGGGTCATTAGCCATGCATAGGGTTGACTATAAGATATTGTTTTAATGAATTAAACCATTCAAGTTAACCCAATCAATCAATAACTTGAATAGAGTAAATGGACTAATGATTAAGTGATAATAATGTGATGTTCTGAAATATAGTAAGAAGGCATTCACGTGAATCTGCTTTACCTTGTTTGAACATGCTATCTGTTAATGATATGTCTTTCATGGAAATGTATGGTTCTTTTGGAGAACTAAAATAGATTTATTTTCCCTGTTCCTTTCCCCTCAGCTCTCCTTTGTTTTGGCTTTTTGGAGTGGTGAGAGCGGTAATGGCAGGTAACTCATGCAGCGAAGTTGAATTGAACTTTAGCCTTCCCCATTGATTCATTCTTTTACCAGAAAAATCCCAGTTGGAAAAAAAGTTTGGTTTAACATGAACTACGTTAGTTCTGCTGTAGTTAATCTAACCAGGCTGGTACTGAGGTTTAGTTGAGTTAAAATTTTCTTTTACACTCTAGCTGTTAGCTAGGCTTGTAAAATGGTAGCTTTCAATATTAGAGATTTAGCTAGTGGACTGATGAATAATCCCTTTTAGTAAGGATGAAGTCCTCATGATTGACTGAGTAAAAAAATGGAAGACTGG